CCCTACTTATAACTACCCATGAACCGCCAAGTAGGGCTTTAAAGTTGAGAGGTTGGGTGCACGTACTGTCTTTTAAAGGCTGAGCCAACTCCTTCAGACCTTACGAGTTACAGGTCCTGAGCCAGAGCCCAGACTCCCTGCTGTTTTTTTTTTGATCCCCCAAAAAAGGGTCCGCGGAAGTTCTTTTTGTAGGGTTTAGAGTTTGGGCTTTAGCTGCCGTGCCCTGAAAGTTTAGTGTTTAGAGATCTGAGCTCAGGGCTTTTTATATATGCGTCCATGGATAAGAAGATCATGTTTTACTTCACCCCATCTTGGTGTTCTTCTGGTTGGCTCTTGGGATTTTAACTGTTTGGGTTTCTATATGAACTATAATAAGGAGGCTAAGAATGTTTTAACTCGTAGGAGGGGTTCAGTAGTCAGCCACGCCATGTAAGTACACGGACCCTTGGGGCAACCAAGATACCTCATCGTTGAGCAAGTTTGCCGCTTTCCCACGATATGTAGGTACAGGGCTCAGGCTGCAGCAAAAGCTTCAGAGTATTGGTGAAGGGTGGTACGGTTGATGATGTAAATCCTGCACTACCCACAATAAGGAATATGCCATATTCCTTAATAGTTTAGGGTCCTTAAGGTAATGCAGGATTTATATCATCACCAGTATCTCGGACCCTGAACCAACGACTGAGAAGACTGAAAATGAGGGGCCACGACTTTGTGGGGCAACTGCAGGAGCTGTTCCCGATCATTATCGGTGCCCTTTACAAGAACTCGAAGCAGCACTGGAATAGCGCGGCCATGGGCTTAGAGACTTGTGAAGGCTGCGGGACTCAACCAAAGCGGAACTGATAAGACACAGGAGCCCCCCCATGCGGCTGCAAGCCTTCACGCCCCAGAGCGTCGCAGATAAGTCTATATGAAAAGCCCTCACCTTCTCTCTGAATTCTGGAAGCTCTCAATCTCCATTCCATGCCTCAAATTCCGCATCTGCATCCTCACGTCCCAAACCCACGCCGCTCTTCCCCTCCCGCCTCCACCAATACACCCTGCTTTCTCCAGAAATTCCCCATCCCTGAGGCCAAGGAGCCAATCCTGAAACCCCACAGCCTAAAGGAATTTAATAAAGGGGCCTCAATAATTGCCTATACTATTTTGGGGGTTCCTTATTATAATAATAGTATAATATACCCCAAAACCCTATTCTAACTATGAAGTCCCCCACATTACATGAAACCAGCCCGACCAAACCCCAAGTACATACATCTCATTTCCCTTGACCGTGGACCAAGCTCTACATAGCAGCTATGTGCCCCTAGTAGCAGGTGCTGCAGCATCACCGCGCACAACATTGTGTGAGATTGCATGCTGGCATGTAATAGATCCTCTGCGTTGAGGGTGCTTGCAGGTTCGTTCGCAGATGCAAACCGGGAAAGGGACTGCACGAGAGCAAGGTTGTCTGCGGTGGACAGTTGCACGAAGTACTGCAGGTTCTACAAACTCCAACGATTCACCCTAAACCCTAAACCCCTAAATCCTAAACCCTACACCCTAAACCCTAAAGCCTAAAGCCCTAAACCCTGAACCGTCTCCAGGTGCATGGCTTGACATTCAATGTGCTGAAGCTTCTCATGGAGGTGTCGACCATGAGTAGCAGGGGTTTTAGGGTTTAGGGGTTCAGGGTTTAGGGTTTAGGGTATTGCATATAGGTCCATCACATGCCCTAAGCTCCGAAACCCATGCCCTAGAAAGACTCTAAGCTCGTTGCCTCAAACATTACAGGGGAATCCCAATCCCATTTTTTCCCCTAAACTAAACACCACCCCCTAGAAGACTAAACCCGCTGCCCCATCTCCTTCGGCTTTTCATGGTTGTGGCGTGTTGCTTCTTCCTGTAGCCTCACCTGAGTACTTGGGTGTATGAGCTCTGTTGAGCAGTTTTCAATATACTGCACATACCGACACCATGTACTCAAGGCCTACTATACCAGGTAGGGTGTGGGCTCAGGTTCGGTGACCTCAGATCCAGGGTTTCGGGTAAGCTTTAGGGTTTAAAGTTTTGGGGTTTAGGGCAGGTCTTCGGGTGCAGGCAGGATTGAGGGATGTGGGTTTGAGGTTTCGGAAATTGGGTTGAAGATGCCTTGTGCTTGGAAGAGATGAGAGTTTTAATTGTATATGCTCCTTGGCAATCTTTCAAACCTGATGAGCGGGCTTACCCGACTTAACACGACTGATAGGCAGGGCTCGCCAGCTGGAAATAGCCGCCGCAACAATAATGGCAGCATAAATGATGTCTAAGACTATGCCCACATGGAAACAAACAAACAAACTTATAGCACTGATACTACTACCAACAGTATTTACTGAGCACACACCACAAGATCAACAGTCATTGGTAGCAGCGCTAACTCCTGAAATCCTCAAGACCTCACAGTAAAGAGCACCACATCAGCCAATGTTGCGAAGGCCTGAACCCGAATCTATCTTAAACCCAACACATTGAGCTCTAACCCCAAAAAACCTATCCCTAAACCGCAGCCCCTCAAACCTGAAGTCATGTTAAACCCCAAACCCTAAGCCCTAAACCTTAAACACTAAACCCTGAACCCTAAACCCCAAACCCTAAACCCTGAACCCTAAACCCTAAACCCTCCAAACCCCTTCAAGCCGGGTGAAGGCCGACCCACAGCTCTTCGATGAATGCTCCGCGAAGCATCGAGCAGATGAGGAGGAAGAGGGTCGGCGCGAGCAGGCCGGCTCTTCCAGGGTTTAGGGTTTAGGGTTTAGGGGTTTAGGGTTTAGGGGTTTAGGGTTTAGGGTTTAGGGTTTGGGGTTTAGGGCCTAAGGGTTTGGGGTTTAGGGTTTAGTGTTTAGGGGTTTGGGTTTAGGGCTGCCAGGCTTCTTAAGAAGGCTTCCGACAAGACAAAAAAGGGCTCTTATAAGGGCCTTGCCCTTAGGCGCAATGTACCTGTGTAGTATAAGCTTAGGCCTTTTTTTTTGGGGGGGGGGTTCCTGTAAGCCTTGGGCTTAGTAAGCAGTGAGACTCGCCGCCTTACGGGTTCACAGCGACATGAACCTGAACCTTCGAAATTCCTCCTAGGCCCTAACCCTAAACCCTAAACCTTATGCCATTAACCCTATTTTGGGGTTTTGAGATTGAGGGTTTGGTGTTTAGGGCTTAGTGGTCGGGCCTTAGGGCACGGGGGAACCTCATTTAGGGGTTTAGGGTTTGGGGTTTAGGTTTGGGGGTTTAGGGTTTAGGGGTTTAGGGGTTTTATGGTTTAGGGGGTTAGGATTTAGGGTTTCGGGATGATCCGGCCATGTATAAGTTTTTAAGTTAGGCATTCACGGGTTCACAGGCGACTATGGCCATTCAGGGCTTGCGGCCCAGTTTTTTTTTGGGTTGAGGGTTTAGGGTCTAGGGTATTTTGGTTGAGGACATAAAGCTGCGGGAGTGTTGGAGTCTTTGAGCATTGCCAACAGGCTCGGGCTAGGGGTCTAGGATATAGGGCTGCGCGTGCAAGGTTCAGAGTTCGCGGCCTAGTTGGGTAAGTCACAGTGATGGGGAGTTTAGGTAAATGATGAGGTAGAGCGGTTAGAAGTATCGCAGGCTGAAGCAGGGTTGGGTCACTCGTGCTTATTATGTATGATATCAAGCGAGTGGCTGATGCATCGGGCGTCTGATGAGGTGACTTAGCAGATAGTTCGGGGCTGACAATATCGCAGTTATACTACGGCTAATCGCAGAAGCATGCTTCTAAGTATGGAGCTTTTAATGCCCAGCTCCTGAAGCCCCAATCCTTAACCCCGGATACATACCCTTCCTGACGGGATGCGCCACCAAAGAACCTCAAAGAAGCTGGCTTGACTGTTGACTGTTTGCTTCGTAGGACCTCGTAAACAGTCTGAAAACATTGGCTGATAATGGTACCCTATCAGAGCCCTAAACCCTAAACGGTAACCCCGAAATCCCTAAACCCCAATAGTTACGTTAAGCCCTAAACCGCAAATCCCTAAACCCAATCCGCAAACCCCAATTCCCTAAACCCCAATAGTTACCCTAAGCCCTAAACCGGAAACCCGAAATCCCTAAACTCCAATAGTTACCCTAAGCCCTAAACCGCAAACCCGAAATCCCTAAACCCCACTAGTTACCCTAAGCCCTAAACCGGAAACCCGAAATCCCTAAACCCCAATAGTTACCCTAAGCCCTAAACCGGAAACCCGAAATCCCTAAACCCCAATAGTTACCCTACTATGAGGGCGCAACCCTTAACCCTACATACCTCCTTGCGATCCAGTTTTGTGGTTAGTTGCTTCTGTGTTAGAGCCAAGACAAAAGCCCAGACCCCCATGCTCCAAACCTAACATCTCAGCCTTCCGTTCCAGGAGCGAACGCGAAAGTGGCAGGTTCTCCAGGAGAATCCAGGTTTAGGCTCTACCCCTAGGCCCCTAAGTAGTTCCTTTTTGGGACTACCTTATAGGATTCTATATATAAACCATAAAAAACGAACTGCTTAGGGGCCTATGGGTAGGGTCCTAGGTATTTTGAGGCTTAGGCTCCAGTTTAGGCGTTCTGGCTTTATTGAGCTCAAGGGCTTGAAGGGTCTTGGTGGCTTGAGGGTTTTGGGGTGTTTGCTGGAGGCATGTGTTGTGGGGTCATTAAGGGCTGAATGTGTAGGGCTCAGGGGGTTGCTTGTTTTGAGTTAGTTGTAGGGTGTTTCCAACACTCTGTTGTTCTGGTTTGGAGTCCAGGTTATCTCAAGAACAGGGTCATGTGAGGCCCAAAAGCCCTAAAAGATGACATTGTAACACTCTTCCTTGGTGTTTGGTTGTTGTAATTGCAGTATAGCATACACCAAAACCCTATTCTATTTTTTGGGAAGGCCCCCAAAACACCCCAGCGCAAAGACGGTGAGCCGATTCGGGATGTGTAGTTTGGGGCTTCAGCGTATGTTAGGGGTTGGGGGAGTGCAGGTTTTGAGTTTCAGGGCTTCGATATGATGGGTTGTCATTGTTCAGGAGGGGTACCCAGAGAGCCCAATACCCCTTAATTAAGGAATATACCTTAAATCACAATATTGAGGCCCCTATAATTTAAGGCAAAATCCTTAATTCGTTGAGGAATATACCTTAAGTCATAGTATTAAAGCCCATATAATTTAAGCCAGATATTCCTTAATTAGGGTATTGGGGTTCTCTGGGTACAGGGCTGAGGGTTTCGAGAGCCGGGAGCGCTCCGGAGACCCATGCAACGAGTGTATGGTCGACCTCAACCCCAAAAACACGGTTTAGGGTTTAGGGTTTGGGGTTTGGGGTTTAGGGTTTAGGGTTTGGGGTTTAGGGTTTAGGGTTTAGGGTTTAGGACCTGAGCCCCAAAATTACCTTACCCTAAATGTCCATGTATTCATATCGTATAGACATTGGGCCCAAAGTACCTGTATAGGAATTAGTTTAAGGCCAAAGTATCTACTATTTGGGTACATGGACCCTCAGGGTTACCTTTTCTCGGGACTTAAAAAGGAAGTCATGGTAAGGGACCCTGGAAAGGTAGGTTTTCTTCGGGTTTAGGTGGCATCCGAGTTGTAGGACCCTAAAACCCCTTAAACCCAGGCCTGATCACTACACTACAAGCCCTACGGAGGGAGACTACACCTTTTTCTGGCGTTAAAACTCCACAATTTCATATCCGGCACCGGGTTCTATAAGAGGGTTCCCTTGAGTCGAGGGGTGCTTCATATTAGGGTCCTATAGTGGGGTGCCCTCAATGGCTTTAGGGTTTATAAGACCAACACAGTC